ATGCCTGTAATCCCAGCACTTTGGGAGGCTAAGGCGGGAGGATCACAGGGTCAGGAACTTGAGACCAGCCTGGACAACATGGTGAGACCCCATCTCTACCCAAACTAAAGAGCATCAACATGATGAAGAATTTGCATCAACTAATGGGCAAAACAGCCAGCCAACATCAAATGGCAGTATTATACTCATATATATTATTATTAATCCTAAATTTAAATCGACTAAATCCCCCAATCAAAAGACACAGCCAAAACCCATCAGTATGCTGCATCCAGACCCATCTCACATGCAAGGATACACAAAGACTCAAAACAAAGGGATGGAGAAACATTTGCCAACCAAATAGAGAACAAAAATAAATAAATAAAAAGCAGCAGTTGCAATTCTCACCTCTGATAAAATAGACTTTAAAGCAACAAAGATCAAAAGAGGCAAAGAAGGACATTACATAATTGTAAAAGGATCAATGCAACAAGAAGAGCTAATGATTCTAAATATATATGCACCCAATACAGGAATACCCAGATACATAAGACTTATAAAGAGACTTAGACTCCTACACAATAGTAGTGGGAGACTTCAACATCAATATTAGATCAACGAGACAGAAAATTAACAAGGATATCCAGGACTTGAACTCAGATCCGGAACAAGTAAACTTAATAAACATTTATAGAACTCTCCACTTCAAATACATAAAACATACACTCTTATCAGTACCACATCACACCTACCCACAGGTTTAAATGAAATATTGGTTGGCTGCTTGTTTGTTATTTTCTTCCCTCATTTTTTCCTGTCTCCATTGTTAAGCACAATTATTGGCATAAAAGAGGTTTTCAATACCCATTTTTAGACTGCATTCTAGCCTGGGCAATAAAGCAACACTCCCGTTCTCTCTCCCTCTTCCTCTTCCTCTTTCTTCCTCTCCTTCATTCTTTAAAAAAAAAAAAAAAAAAAAAAAAGAGTTGCCAACATATATTTTTGTTTGTATTTATTGATCAAGCAATTTCATACTTCTCTCTGCCAAGTACTTTTAAGGTGTCAAAATTTGGCGTAGAGGCTACAAAACTATAACTCAGCCCAAAACAAAATGATCTTTCCTTGTGTCATTTTTAATAAACAAAACATTAATATTGATTTAATGAAGGTAGCTACATCTTGAATTATTTAGTTAAATACCCAAACTTCTAATCTGGCCTTAAGCAGTCTAGTCCACCGACATGAAGGAAGTTTGTTCTGGGAAAGGACTGTTATCAACTTTGTTTCAAAGCTAAACTATAAACTAAGTTAATGAATAAGAATAGATTGGAGGTTAGAAGCAAGATGGAATCAGTTAGATCAGACCATTTTCACTGTCTCAGCTATAATTTTGCAATGGTGGTTTCGTAACTTTAAATTATGACTATCACAGTTTTCATAAATTAGTAGATAAATGTAATGGAATAAATACCCATAAACAAACATCATAATTTTGAATTTAAAGTTATATTAAATTAAGCAACAAATATTTCATTATTTGGGTAATTTCCAATGAAAATATATTGTAGGAAAATATTCTTTCTAAAAAATGCGTCATTTTTCAAGGGTAAATAATTTTTGTCTAATTCAAAGATTATTTAAAGGTTATATATAAAACAAGCTAAAATAAACCAGGAAATAAGAGAGATCTAAAGAAAGTTACAAAAATAAAGAAAGCATAAAGCTTATTGGTAAAATAAAAATATCTTCAAAAATGTAAACATTTGGTCTAAATTATGCCAGTTAAATAATAGGTTTACTAAATACTGTAGGTCATAAACTTCTTCTTTGACTTAAAAATTATTCAATTTATTTTGGAGTGTTAAATTCTAGATAAGGCCTGGGGACATTTCATATGCCTGGGGACATATGAAATTAGCCATGCCCCTAGCTATGCAAAAGGTACTAAAGAAAAAAAGATTTTATATAAAAAAGGATCTTGTATGGTAAATTCTTTTCCTAAAGTAAAATAACTGGTTGTTGAAAAAGAGAATGTTTAGGACAGGTCAGAAAGTTGAGGCATGTTACAGCATGTCTGTTAAAAAAAAGGTGAATCCCCATCTCTACTAAAAATACAAAAATTAGTCGGGTGTGGTGGCGTGCGGCCATAGTCCCAGCTACTTGGGAGGCTGAGGCAGGAGAATTGCTTGAACCTGGGAGGCAGAGGTTGCAGTGAGTTGAGATTACATCACTGTACGCCTGGGCGACAGACAAGAGACTCTATTAAAAAAAAAAAAAAAAAATTAGGTGTGATGCTTGCCTGTAATCCCAGCTACTCAAGAGGCTGAGGCAGGAGAATCACTTGAACCCAGGAAGTGGAGGTTGCAATGAGTCAAGATGTGCCACTGCATCCCAGCTTGGGCAACAGAGCGAGCCTCCATCTCAAAAAAAAAAAATAATAATAATAATAATAATAATAAAATAAAGACAAAGATAAGTTATCATATCAAATAAAGGAAAGAAAATTTCAGGGCCAGGTAAACATTTCAGATATTAGTCCCTCCCCCTCCTCCTGTGTTATAAAGAGATTGATTTGTCCAACCAGTAATTGGGCAAAAAATAAAGTTTCTTACAAATTTATTTACCCATTTAAAAATATATTGTTTTCCTCTCCTGTTCAGTGGAGAATAGAAAAATGCATGAGCTCTCATCCCTACCCTCAAGGAATCTACCATCTCACCGGGGAGGTGACTAGAGCACGGTCATTTAAATAAAAGCAGAAGTGAGGCTAGGCACAGTGGCTTACACCTGTAATCCCAGCACTTTGGGAGGCTGAGGCTGGAGGATGGTTTGAGTTTAAGAGTTAAAGACCAGGCTGAGCAACATAGTGAGACTGCTGTCTCTACAAAAGAAAAAACAATTAGTGGACGTGGTGGTGCATGCCTAGAGCCCCAGCTACTTAGATGCTGAGGTGGGAGGATCACCTGAGCCCAGGAGGCTGAGGCTGCAGTAAGCCATGATAACACCACTGTGAGATCCTGTCTCAAAAAAAAAAAAAAAAAAAAGCATGCCGTGGAAAAAGTGAAAATTGGTCTAGGGGTACATCAGAAAGAGAAGGCAATGCTTCAGCTGGATGGGAGATGGGAGAAGGAAGGGCATGCGGAGGGGGAGGGGAAGGAACATGCATGCTGAAGGGGCAGGGAAATGGAGGCTGGACAAGGGGATTGTGTTGGAGAGGTGAATCTGGACACATCAACTGGAGTCAGATTGGGTCTTTTTTTTTTGAGACAGAGTCTCGCTCTGTCTCCCAGGCTGGAGTGCAAGGGTGCCATCTCAGCTCACTGCAACCTCCGCTTCCCAGGTTCAAGAAATTCACCTGCCTCAGCCTCTCAAGCAGCTGGGAATACAGGCATGCACCACCACGCCTGGCTAATTTTTGTATTTTTATTAGAGATGGGGTTTCACCATGTTGGCCAGGCTGGTTTCCAACTCCTGACCTCAGGTGATCTGCCCTCCTTGGCGTCCCAAAGTGCTGGGATTACAGGCATGAGCCACCAGGCCCGGCCCAGATTGGATCTTGAATGCCTAAGAAATGTGGACGAAACTGGTGGTTGCTGTGTGTGTGGGTGTGTGGAGTCACAGTGCTAAGCAGAGAAGGCCACCCAAGGGAGACAACTGGACGAATGCGGAAGTGTTGGACGGCTGCCAGTCCCACTGCAGGGAAAGGCAACTGTAGAGGAAGAATGAGAAGAGGGTGAATGGAAGCCGGGTGCCTGTGAAATGACTCCACCCCACTCCTTCTCGGGAAGCCTGCTCTCCTTTCCCTGGTTGAGGAGAGGCAGTTGCAAGATGCGGGTATTTGCTGGAGAGAGGAACAGAAATGCTTCACTTGTCCTGTAAAGCTGTTTCAGGACATGGATTCAGCAAAGATACAGCTTCTATCTTTTCATTTTAGTGAATTTCGAAGTCATATTTCATTCTACTTTGTTGGACATATTGGAGTGACACATATCTGATATTCATAGAATTTTAAAATGTTAGAGGTGGAGAAACTTTTATGTTTATAGGATCTGATCTCTACAAACCCTTATTTATTTTTTATTTTATTTTTTTGAGACAGAGTCTCACTCTGTCGCCCAGGCTGGAGTGCAGCGGTGTGATCTTGGCCCACTGTAACCTCCAACTTCCGGGTTCAAGCAATTCTCTTGCCTCAGCCTCCCCAGTAGCTGGGTTTACAGGTGTGCACCAACACATCTGGCTAATTTTTGTATTTTTAGTAGTGATGGGGTTTCACTATGTTGGCCAATCTGGCCTTGAACTCCTGACCTCAGGTGATCTGCCCACCTTGGTCTCCCAAGTGTTAGGATTACCATTGTGAGCCACTGCAGCCAGCCTACAAACCCTTATTTAACATCTGACTTTCAACATTTGAAGTACTTAAAAATTGGATAATGTTTCTTATAATCCTAGGAGGGAAAAGTAAGACGTTTCTTTTCTCTTTGTTTCCTTCCTTCTTTTAATAAAAACAAATAGACAAAATTGTTTGTTAGATGGAACTTAAGAGAACCTTGTCAAGAGAGGACTTCAACATAACTTGGAATATTCTTTTTTTTTTTTTTTTTTGAGACAGGGTTTCCTTCTGTTGCCTAGGCTGGAGTACAGTGGGCTTGATCTTAGCTTGTTGCAACCTCCTCCTCCCCGGCTCAAGCGATCCTCCCACCTCAGCCTCCTAAGTAGCTGAGACTACAGACATGAGCCACTACAGCAAGCTATTTTTTTTGTAAAGAAGGAGTTTCGCCATGTTGCCAGGCTGGTCTTGAACTTATGAGCTCAAGCCATCCACCTGCCTCGGTCTCCCAAAATGCTGGCATTATAGACATGGGCCACCACGCCTGGCCAGCCTGGAATACTCTAAGTTGATCTCATACATCATTCTCCCAAAGTGGATTCGAATGTCAGTCCTTACTGCAAAAAGAGAGTGCTTATCAGTCACTTTCATGAGTCACCCAGGCTGCTGCACATACTAATTATCCAACGTACGGCAACAAATCAGAAGGAGGCCGAGGTTCACAGTGTACACACTTGAGCAATCCTCAGAGAGAGGCTGCCAGAAGCCATATGCGTTCTCCCATCTGCCCTTCCTCATCCTTGGGGTCTTTCAGAGCTCAAGGATGGGTGACGTCCAGGAAGTGGGCTCTGCCTTTGAGCTCCCATTGCCAGGAGCCTCCCCTCTCTAGTCCTGCCCCTTCCTTGGCACTCATACAAGGATTTTGTGACCTCCCTCTGC